ACATTTCACCAGAGAGGATATTCAAATGGACACCAAACTCATGAAAATCGCCCAGTGTCATTAGCCAGACTGTAAATGATTACATAAGAAGATGGGTACGCAGTTGTTAAAAAAGTCATTAGTGTTGGTCAAACCCACAAGACGACACAACACCAAGGATGTACCTCAGTGTAAACTGTGGGCTTCAGTTGATATACTGCACCACGATCGGCTTAGCAAGCCTAACAAATGTGCCACACGGATGCAACATGTTAGTTAGTAAGAGACACATACAGGAGGAAGGGGGGAACTGCATGGTTCTCTGTTCCGTCTGCACAATTCTTCCGTAAACCCAAAAGTGATCTAAAAAATAAAGTCTATTAAAAAGAAAAAAGATATGAATAGAATAATAACCACGAAACAAAAATAAAAGCCTTCCTAAATTCTAAAAAAAAAAAACGTGAAAGTGAGAGTAAAGAAAAAGATCATGTAAATGAAGAAACACATTCAGAAACAGCAAGTAATACTGCACACGGCATAAATTGACGCGATGGAGTTAAGACCAATCAGAACTCTGAACACATCCCCAAACAGCCAACCCCACTGCCAACGAGTGGATTCCGACTCACAGCGACTCCCACAGGGTTTCCAAGGCGATAAATCTTTATGGAAACAGACTGCCTCATCTTTCCCCCACAGAGCAGTTGGTGGTTTTGAACTGTCGATCTTTTGGTTAGCATCCCAATGCCTTAACTACAGCACCACCCGAGCTCCTCCTCTTAATACAGACAAGTAGCCTTAATTCATTTACGAGTCAACAAACAGAAGCAATTTGACAAAAAGTAAGCTACAACCACATGCTGTATGTAAGACACATCCCTAAACAAAGTGTTTCTCAAAGGCTGAAGATGAAAGATGGGCGCAGCTAGACCAGGGACATAGGCTCCAAAACTGCAGGGGTGCAGTCCTGGTATCAAAGGTGAATTCAAGCCAGAAAGCTTTTAACAGGGCACCAAAAGACACTTCTAATAGTAAAGCCATCATTCCCAGTGAAGCTGTAAGTTCACATCTATGCACCCAAAACGTGTAACAACGACCTTTCTTTATGAGAAAACAATAGGATTTGTTTAACAGGGCCTTTGTGGAAAAAGAAATTAGGGTACCCAAGTCCTGAATAACCTAACCCACAAGGCGGATGTTCAGAAGCACACCAGGGTTTACATGCTGATCACAGGGACTCCACTTCTCCGCCACACACAGGACATTTGCCAAAGCCGATCATTAGGCCACAGGCCAGACACGAGCAAGTTCCCTGAAGGAGGATGACAGACATTCTGATTGAAATGCAATCCAATTAGGGATTGATCACAAAACCCAAAGGGCCTGTGCACCTAGAAATAGAAACAGAACAGCAGAAACAAAATCAGCTTCTACAAAACAAATCTTGGGCACAAGGGACAATAGGAACCAAAGTCATAGCACTAAAACGACGACGACAATGAAGGCACATACTGGAATCCCTGGGATACGTTTAATGCAAGGTCAGAGGAACATCCACACCTTAAACATTTACATCAATGACAAGGACAGAAAGAACTCAAAGAATGGAATCCCTGCCACTGAACTGTCCATGTAGAAAGTGTTGAATCAGTGTGTTTTGCTGTGTCTGTTCTCAACAATACAAACTAAATTTTTTTCTTTAAAAAAGGAAAGAATGAAAATAAGTTACTTCTCCACTCAAAACGCTAGAGAAAGAACAAAGTAAAACTCCCCAGCATCCTCCAAAAAAAGATACAAACAGGAGTGAATGAGGTTTTGTTGTTGTTGTTATGTGCCGTCAAGTCAGACTTGACTCATAGGGACCCCTCCTTGGCTTTCTGAGGCATATCACTACGGAAGTAGATTGCCCCACCTTCCTTCCGAGGAGGGGCTGGTGGGTTTGAACTGCCAGCCTTCTGGTTAGCAGTCAAGTGCCTTAGGCACTAGGCCCCCAGAGCTCCAAGGAGTGAATGAGGTAGAGAACTAAAAATAACCAGTAGATCTAATTAATAAACCAAAATCCTGTTTTTCTCTTTTTACTAACTAGATAAACCACTAGCTAACTTAAAACAAGGGAACAAACACAAATATACAAAATAAGATACCAGTGACACAGAAGAAACTAAAAAAGGAGAGAGGTTAAAGAAAAAAACTATTTTGCAGACTTTTACTTAAATGAAGAGCCCTGATGGCATAGTGGGTAAGGAGGCATCTGGGTGTTAACCAGAAGGTCGGCAATTCAAAGCCAGCAGCTCCTGCACTGGCAGGAAGATGAAGCAATCTACTTCTGTAAAGATTACAGCCTTGGAAACCCAATGGGAGTCACGATGACTCGGGACCAACCCAATGGCCGAGGGTCTGGTTTGAAATCCCAGGAGACAATGCCAACTCCCTAGGCACCTACAGTCTACCAAAACTGAGCCCAATGACAGCAAAAGGCAGAAGCCAACCAATTTCCACAGAAGAAGTAGGTACCGTTACCCCATGCAAAACAAAACAAAAAGGCGCTGACGGTTTCACATGGGCGTTCCACCCAACTTTCCAAAAGCAGGCAGCACCACTGCTGCATAAACTAAGCCGGAGCATGGCAGAGGGGGAAGTCCCGCGTTACTGTTATGAAGCAAGTATCATATTGACACCCAAACCTGACAGAGGCAAAAACAAACAGGTACGGACCACCGCCACGTAGGAGCGAAGCCCCGTAGAAGCATAGTGGATGCAACGGTGCAGAGCACAACCCGGTCCCACGCGAAGAAAACAACCCATCCAACGAGAGGCATGCCGGCAGGGTCAGCTTGGCTCGAGACTGGGAAAACCAACACCCATTCCGGCAACAGCACTCAAGGATATAGGGCCTGGGGCGCCTTTCTTGAAATTATACACACACACATACACATCATAAAATAAAAATAAAAACCCAGCCTCTTACTTAATGTGGAATTTCCATGGAGATCAGAACGAGGCAAGGACGTCTCCACCGTGTTCAACGTTGAACTGGAGGTTTCAGCCAATACAATTAAACTAAAGAAATCAGTTAAAGACCTAAGAGTCTGAAAGAAGCAGTAGGCTGTATGGTCGTATACCTGGAAAAGCCTAGAAAATCAATAATCAAGGTAACCCAAACAATAAGAGAACTCAGCAGAGCAGCAGGATGTAAAATCAGGAGAGAAATCAGCAACTTTCCTGGGCAAAGGAAGTAAGACCACAACTGATGCCGGCCTTTCAACCTTGGCTCCGTGACTGATTTTTCTGAAAATAACTGAGTAAAGCTTCATAATGGAAAAAACAAGAAGTAAACAGATGCTAGGCCTAGACTTAGGGGTGTGGTTACAGTTACACTGAGGGTTAAAGCTAGCACAAGGTTTAGAGTCAGAATTTGCTTTAGGGATGGGGTTAGGGTTAGGGTTATGGCCAGAATAAGACTATGGATAGAGTTAGAGACAGACTAGACATAGGGCTAGATCTAGGGATAGGGTTAAGGTTAGGATTAAAGTTAAGGGTGGGCTTAGGTCTGGGATGAGGGTATTGATTAGGTTTACACGTAGAATCAGGGCTGGGATTAGGCCAAATTCAGGATTGCTGTTGTTGTGCGCTGTTGAGTTGGTTCTGACTCATAGCGACCCCTCCTTGGGTTTCCGAGGCGGTCGGTATCTCTACAGAAGACAATTGTACAACCTTCCTTCCGAGGAGTGGCTGGTGGGTTTGAACCACCAGCCTTCTGGTTAGCAGTCAGGTGCCCTAGGCACTATGCTACCAGGGCTCCCAAGTTTAGGATTAGGGTTAGCCAAAGAGGGTTAGGGTAGGGTTAGGGTTAGCACTAGGACTAAAGTTAGTATTCAATTTAGAAGTAGAATTAAAGCTAAGGCTAGGGCTTAGGGTCGGGTTAGGGTTAAAGTTAGGGTTAAAATTAGGGTTAGGTTTAAAATTGGGGTTAGGATTACAAAGAAAGAAACCAATAGCTTTCACACACACAGGTAACAGGCTGGCAGAGGATCCAACAGTAGAGAAATCCCACTCACACCAGCAACAGAGAAGACAAAGTCCTGAGACTCTGCCCCTGCAACGGGGGAAAGTGCTGAGGAGAATTCAAATCCTTCCTGCAGACACGAAAGCTCAGACGCTGAGCACCAGCAGAGCCGCTCTGGGACAGGCCGACTCGGCAAGACGCAGCTCACTCAGAAAGGCACCAGCGTCTCAAAAACACCCACGCTCTGCTGTTAAGGATGAGACAAGGCGACACACAAGCTCACAAGGCAAAACAAACAGTAACTAGGAAAATGCCGACAAAGAGAAGCTGTGAGGAGGACACTAGCCCTCCTAGATAGGAGAGTGAAAAGACCTCTACAATTAAAACGGTACAGGTCTGCCATATGGACAGGCCAGGGGAACAGAACAGAAAGTCCAGACACAGACCCAAGTACAAATGGGCACTCGGTCTCTGATAAAGACAGCATCTCAGATCACCAGGTTAGAGGTGGACACTTAAATACACTGTGGCTGGGACAAGTGGGTAGCTATCTGGAGAGAGAGACTTGGATTCACAGCTCACACCGCATGAGAAGAAAGTCTCACTGGATCAGAGATCTAACTGTAAAAATGAAACTGACATGGGCTAGCAGAAAACATGTGAATTCTTGCACACACAGGGGGCGGGGAAAGGTTTTCTACAACTCAGAATAAAAGATCCATGGACCTGACTATGAAACAGACATCTACCTCTCAGCAAATCCTCAGCATTACTGAGACAATAAAACCTAGAAGGAGCTAGGTGCCCCCGGCCCTCCCGTGGGCCCCATGCAGCCCAGCCCCCCATGGTCGTCAGAGCCCAGCATAACCAGGCTACACTGGCACTCCCTCCTGTGGACCAGGGGGGGTCAACCATGATGCTCAGCGGAGGAGCAGCTGCAAGCCAGGGGAGGGAGGGTCCCAGCATGCCCAGGGCAACCTGGACTTTCTCAGACCGCGAGGCCACAGACAGGTACCTGGGCTCCGACAGAGGCTCGTGGGCAGAGCTGGCGCTCGGGCATCTATCAGGCCCACGATCTTCATGTGTCCATACTGCTTAGCCAGCATCCGGGCCGTGGCACCACTGTGGTCTCGCGTGTCCACTCTGACTCCCTGTGACAGTTGTGAAAGAAGAGTTAGGGACCTACCCTTCGAAGCACCCCTACTTCCCGGGCTGCTGGAGAGGAAGTAGGTGGCTTCTAAATCCCACACCTGGACAGTTCTGCTTGCAGGGGGACACATAACTTTGCTGGGACTAGGGAGGGACTGGTGGCCACGTAAGGAGCAGTGATCAGGTATAGCCTGCAGGTGCCACAGCACTGCCAGGCTGCTGTTTCGTCTGGCTGACGCCCACAATGATGGCACGGATCTCAGTGGGGAGGGTGATACGGAAGGGTCCCGGCCCGCACCACGATCGGAATGGCACCACCTTCCCAAGCAGCAGTTGGTGGCTTTTCTCTAAGCCCTAATGAGGACTCAGGCAGGTGTAGTAAGTTAATTTCCCGCCTGCAACTCTGTCCTAAGGAACCACCTGCCAACACAGGAAGGTGTCATGCACACAGCACTCAGCAAGCATTTACAAGAATGCAATATGGAGACTGACCTCACGGGGAAGGAGAGCCAGCTGCGGAACTGCCTGTTGGCAGAACCCACAGCAGCCACAAATGCTGACATTTACAAATAACCAGCTTTAAGCAAAGATGATGCAAAACTGTGTGTCCATTACAATCACAGCCACATTAAAATAAAACAGCATACAGAAAACGAGACAGGCTGGAAATCTGCCCAAAATGTTAATAATTCTAGGCAATGAGATGATGGTTTTGTTTTCTGATCTTGTTTTCTAAATGTGTTACTGTAAGCACTTTACTTTTCAAACTGGAAGACCCCGATTCACTTTACATTTGAAAAGCTACATAGCTGCAGTGTCCCAGCTGGTAGTGGAAGACCTTGGTGGGACGCTCAAGGGTACAAGGCTCTGGAGGGGAAATCTGCACAGGGAATTTGCTGCTGTTGTTAGGTGCTGGGCAATCCACTTCCGTAGTGATGCCACCTCGGAAACCCAAGGAGGGGTCGCTAGGAGTCGGATCCGACTTGACAACAGCGAGCCATTAGGTGCTGTCCTGTTGATTCTGACCCACAGCGCCCCTAGAGGACAGAGAAGAACTGCTCCACAAGGTTACTGAAGCCAACTGCCTCATCTTTCTTGGCTGGTGGGTTTGAACCACTGACCTTCCAGTTAGCAGTCAAGCACTTGACCCAGGGATCCTTTTATGGGAAATTCAGAAAATCCCAAATGCTCATGCCCTTTCATCCAGCACTGCCCTGTCCAGAATTTAACCTAAGGAAATAGTTAAGGACAGATGCCAGGATTTAGGATCTTCACAGCAGCTTTTAGGAGTGTGGAAACTAAAAATTGCCTACAGGAGGGCATGGTGAGATAAGTGAGCACCCCTAAAACAAAACCACCCCACCTTCCACTGCACTGATGCCAGGAAGAAGTGGCCACAGTGTCAAGAGACAACCATCAAAAAGCACTCTGTGTAGTGTGACTGCACCGTGGCTTGAAGTGTCGCTAACAAGCCAGAACATTCATCAGTGTAGCATGAGAGCACTGGAGGGTGGGTTTTTTTTGCTGTATTTTCTAATTCCTTTATGAAGTACGTATCACTCGCTCACATAATAAATAGATATAATCCCCATTTTGAAAAACGACACTCCACCAAAGGGCTCAGATCCCGTACAGATAGATCACCACACATCCTTCTGTAGGGAAAATGGGATGTTTGCAAAACCCAGTGAGCGGTACTTTCTAGAATCAATTCTACTACCTGCCCACCCCCCACCCCACTCCCGTTGGAGAGCTCTGGTTCAAAATCAGCCTTGAAAGTTTCAGCCTGAAAGGAGCATTTCTGGCTCAGCTTTGACAGAATGAGCCCAAAGCACTCAAGCAAAATAAACCACGCCCTCCCTACTGCCGGGTTTTACCAACACCTGCTTTCCGCCTGGAAGACTTCAGCCTCTTATCAACCCAAGGACCGTGCCATCAGCTTCCAACTTCATTCTTGGCAGAAAGGCCCAAGCACCCGACCACCCTCTCCCACCTCAGCTGCTGTTGGGAAGAAGGCAAACGGGGCCCTGGGGACACAGCCAGTCCCTCCCCAGGAAGCACAGGTGCCCTGCTTGTCCAGTTCCTGCGCCCCAAGACAGAGGGCAGGGCAGGGGACCCAGAGGCCACAATGGGCCCGCCTCCTGGCTCCTGCGATCCACTGACACCTGGGCAGGAAGAAACTGGCTATGGATGAGTGCTGCCGCAAGGTCACCATGCAGTCCAACTACCTGCCCCTCACCCCAGCCAGAAGACAGCCCCCCAGAACTGGCCGACATAGTCATAGTCTTCCCTCATGCCTTGGAGGAGCAGCTCACGGCTGATGTCCTGATGCTGCTAATTGGGTTCGATTGGGAAAGGAGATGTTCTTATTTTCAGGAAAGGCACAAGGAAGAATTTAGAGATAAAGTGGCTTTATGTCTACAAATGACTCTCAGATGAGCCAAAAAATATTATGTGTGCATATTTTATAGAGTGACTGAGGAAGAAAATGAGGGATGATGTTAACATTTGGGGAGGCTGGGTGGAGATAATGTAAATTCTTTGTATTATTTTACAACTCTTAATGAAGTCTGAAAATATTTAAAATTGAAAAGGTTATAAAACAAATCCAGTCCCTCACATCCTCACTGTCCACACAGTCTCATGTATGAGGGTGCAGAGCACCAGATAAGGGGGGGGACTGGTCTTCAAGGGAGGTCTGGTTTCCAGTGTGGTTCTCTTTTTTAAAAAAATCCTAAATGCAACTGTCTCTTCCAAGCTCCTGCCTCACCTAAGCGAGGCTCCGCCTTCTGTACTTCTGTGCGCCTGCCTGCCTACCCTTCACTCACACACAACAACGTGTCTGGGGGGCCTAGCACTGGCGACTGGTACTACTTCCAAGGAGACCAGGAAATGGCCAGTAGATACATGAGAAGATGCTCAGCCTCACCAGAAACCAGGGAAAGCCAAAAACCAACGGTTAACTCATAACAGCCATCAAACTGGGGGTAGGAGGGGGACGACACACAACTTTTTAAGTCTGCTAATATCGTGTATCAAGGGCTAGTGAGGAAGCAGGAGACAAGAATTTTAAAATGCTATCAGAAAGATCTGTATGGTATCAAATTGACAACAGTTAACTCGAAAGATGAAAACAGGAAGCTTAGGGGGCAGAAAGTTGATGTCAACGGGGAGAAACAAGTCTGAAAAGGAGGGTGAGAATGGCTGCACCACTTAGAACAAATCAGTGTCACGGAACTGTCCAGGGAGAAACCCAATTTGGCATATTGTTCTGCTGTGCATATTAACAACAACAAATAAAATAAATTATTTTTAAAAAACAAAGACACCAAGAAGAGTGTGAACTGGAATAGCTATTGAGGAGAGCAATTGGACACCATCTAGCCAAGGTGAAGATGCCCTCCACACCACAAATTCTACCCTGAAGACTGCATCTTGGACTCCACAACAGATTCCTTGCGGGTGCCCCAGAGTTTACAGACACCACTAAATGCAGCTCTGTAAGTGAGAGCAAAAACGGAACACAACTACACGCCCACTACAAATGGGAGCTCTGGTGGTGCAGTGGTCAAGGCCCTCAGAGGTCAACCCAAAGGATGGTGGTTCAAACCCACCAGCCATTCCATGGGAGACAGACGAGACAGTTTGCTTCCATAAAGACTGTCCACCTTGGAAACCCTACGGGGCAGTCCTACTCTGTCCTCTACAGTTGCTATGAGTCAGAATCAACTCGATGGCAGAGGGCTTGGTTTTGGTTAAAAATGATGGAAAAAGGCATTAAATATTCATACCCTCCATAAATATGGAGCTGTTGAAATGAGAGAGCAACACCGACAGTATCAACACTTTGCCGAATAACACAGGCAATCTGCTACGTTATTTACATAAATCTTTAAAATACTCCAAACAATTTGGTAAGTTACTTAGGGACATAAATTCAAAAACAAAAACTCACTGCCATCAAGTCAATTCCGAGTCAAAGCAACCCACAATGGGTTTTATGAGGCGGTAAACTTTTACTATTATAAATAGGTCATCCATCTTCCTTCCACAGAGAGGCTGGTGGGTTTAAATTGCCAACTTCTGGTTAGCAGTCAAATTACCGTAGGTACCGCACCACCAGAGCTCCTTTAGGGATATATAGAAAAACCAATCTCACTGCCATCAAGTTGGATCCGACTCATAGCGACCCTTCCTTGGGCTTCCGAGGTGGTATCACTACAGAAGTAGATTGCCCCAATCTTCCTTCTGAGGAGTGGCTGGTGGGTTTATGTGAAAAAGTACAGACTCAGTGGGCAGGAAAGGAGCCCTCCAACACTCAAGGGAAAGAGCAGGTGGATGGGGCTGGGAGAGGAATAAAACCAAACCAAACCAAACTCACTGCCATGGAGTCAATTCCGACTCATTGTGACCCCCTTTGGGTTTCCAAGGCAGTAAATCTTTACGGAAGTAGATTGCCCAGTCTTCCTTCTGCAGAACTCCCAGCCTTCTGGTTAGCAGTCAAATGCCTTTTTAGGCTCTACGCCACTAGAGCTCCTTCTGTCTAAAATGTTCGACAAGGGAGAAGATATGAGGCAAATGAGGGCAGGTGGTCAAATATGGGTATTAGTGTCACGTAGACTAGTAGCAGCATTTTCTACTCTTTTTTTGTATTTTGCAAGTACTTCATAACCAAGTTTATTAGTGGTTACCAGAGGCTGGGGGGACGGGAGAAGGAGGAGCTAGTGCTGAAGGGGCGCTGAGTATTAAGGGGATGAAAACATTTGAAACAGACAGTGCTGATGGTTGTACGACATAACGAAAGTAATTCACGTCACTGAACTGTACATGTGGAAAATACGGAAACGCCAAATGTGTGATAACTATACCACAGGAAAGTACTCCATAATAAAAAAATGATCACTCTCGTCCCTGTGGCTCCATTTTCCCCCAAACAACCGACAGGCCTAAGAGGTGAACCATGACATCAGGGAGGCACGCACTCCTTAGAACATCAATCCTG